TGGAGTCCTGATCCCCATTCCACAGATGGAAAAACTGAGGCTGGAGGAGAAGTAACTTGTCCAAAGTCCCAGAGAAAGTGAATAAAAGTCACAGCTGGGAGCAATGTGTGAATGACATCTGTTTACCACCCTGTGCTCCATGAGTCCCCCAGCTGGGCCATACAGCTCTAGTGACCTTCACGGCTCAGCTCAGGAAAATCCCCTAATTCTCAAATCACTGGATTCCATGGCTCATGGAGGGTAGGTGGGGGACCTTTGCCAGAACTTGTTTCCCATTGGCCCCAGACTCCAGCTGCCCAAGGCTCTCCAGGAATATCTCTGGGCTCAGAAAAGGAGCTGGTTCCCCAGAAACTTCTTTGGGAATGTCAAGCTCTGTCCCCTCCTGGGATAATTCCTCTCCTGGGTAAGACAGAAGCAGGAGTTCGAGCGTTTCCCAAGGACGACTCCAAAATAAATGATTTCAGACTTAACAGAAGCTGCTTAACAAATTCCACTCTTCCAGTTTCTTTGGGCATTTTAGAAACTGATTTATACATACAATATCTCTCTCAAAATGAGACAATCAACACAGGATAAAATTATTGAGTTATGAAAATAGGGGTCACATGGAGGTGCAGCACTTTAAATTAAACCGGCAAAATATATCTTTCATACTAAATTGACTCTTTTTGTCTTGGAAATGAATGTTTAATCAGTTAAGACGGTGAAGTTGAGGGAGAAGCCTTAAGCATATTTAATTTTGTAAAAGGAGCCCAATTCCAGTACTGTGCGTGATTCCTGTTGGCAGACATACCTTTAAAGCAGAAGGGCTAGCTCCTATGTGCCTCGCAAAGCTGAGCAGGCTGGGGCAGGGCACCAGAAGGAATTGGTGGCCTCTGGGATAAGAGCCAAGGGGGCTTGGCATTAATAAGATGGCTGTCAAATGCTCTGGCCTCACTCACTTTTCCAGGGTTGACATTCATGGCGCATCTCAGTCTGTGCGGACAGCAATGAAAGCACCTTCGCCATCAGGGCATCCTCTGCACCACCTCTCAGACACCTGGTGTGAGACTGAGAGGTGGATGGTAGGAGACAGAGCTGGGTTTGAATTCTGGTTTTGCTGCGTAAGTGCTGTATGGCATTCATTCATTCACAAAGTGGGTATAGAATCTACCCTGTGGCAGGCCTGGAAGTGAGAACCCCACATCTGAGTAACGACCTCTTCCAGGCACACACATTTGCTACATTTTTAGCAACAGGTGCTTCACTTTCTCCTCATCTGCACCAGGAGTCCTCAAGGGCATGGTGCAGATCCCAAGGCCAGAACAATGCCTGGTATCTAGTAGGTGCTCAATAAAAGCAGCTGGATAACTGCAGATCACTATGATAGGTTGAAAATGTCCCCCAAAGATATCAGATCCTAATTTTTGGAACTCGTAGAGGGGACCATATTTGCAAAAAAGGTCTTTTTTTTTTTTTTTTTTTGGCTGGGGCTGGATTTCAACCCACCACCTCTGGCATATGGGGCTGGTGCCCTACTCCTTTGAACTACAGGCACTGCCCCCCTCTTTTTTTTTTTTTTTTTTTTGAGACAGAGTCTCCCACTCTGTTGCCCTGGGTAGAGTTCCATAGCATCATAGCTCACAGCAACCTCAAACTCTGGAGCTGAAGCTATCCTCCCGCCTTGGCTTCCCAGAGTGATAGGATTACAGGTGTGAGCCACCATGCCTGGCCTGGAAAAAGACTCTTGCAGATATGATTAGCTTAAGGATCTTGAAATGGGGAGATTATCCCAGATTATCCCCAAATGCCCTACATGCTGCCACAAGTGTCCTTATAAGAGAGGCAAAGGGAGCTTTCACTGATAGACAGGAAGGCAAGGTGATGACAGAGGTAGAGATCAGAACGATGCCACTGCTAGCCAGGGAAGGCCAGAAACCCCCAGAAGCTAAAAGAAGCAAGGCTAACTTCTCCCCCAGAGCCTCCGGAGTAAGTGAGTTCATCTTAGTACCTTGATTTCAGCCCAAGGATACAGATTTTGGACTTGCAGGGCTGAGAAAAAGTAAATGTTTGTTGTTTTAAGCCACCAAGTTTATGGTCATCTGTTATAGTAGCCTTGAGAAACTAATACAATCACCTGCTTTCCCCAAATCTCCATTCCCTCACAGCAGGAATACCTCCCTGCCTGGATTAGGTTCTTGGAATCAATACACGAGAAAATGCTTGCAAAGCCCTCTGCATAGTGCTGGACACCTAGCACAGGTATTAACACAAATTCCCACATCGCCCACATCTGCATGTGCCTGCCCACAAGCACGTGGGCCCACACTCCTTTCACCCCAGTTCAGATGAATTTAAAAACTTTGTCTTTAAGGGCCCCTTGTCTCTCTGCACCAGAGAGGCCCAACGTATGTACACGTTCTTATCTGGTTTTCCCAGTTGGTCTGGGCGCTCTCCCCTGGGTAATAGGGTTTGGCTTATCTTTCATTACATAAAGAGGGAATATAAAACTCAGTGAACCCTGGCAAAGTCTGACTAATGGAAGAATTAAGGCTATCTGAATTTGTGAAGCGTCTTAAACACGAGCTAGTTTTAAAGAAATCTGGAAAATGACTGCAGAGTGCCTCTTTGGACAGAGCCCAACAAAAGCATTTCCTGGAAGGGTGACTAGGGGGTCATCTTCGATAAGCAGATAACATGCTTTGTAATTATCAGAGCTATTGTAACCAGGTGGTCCAAAGAGTGTACCTGCGGGTGTCCGCAGTCTGCTCCTTCAGATAAATGAGACTTCAGGGAAAACACTGCCATTTGGTTACAGTGGGAATTCATTTTTATTGCTAATAACAATAGCAAATATTCCCTGATTGTTTACTCTCTGCCAGACATTTGCTAAGACTTTACATACATTATCTCAGACATAGTTCACCACAACCTTGAGGTGGGTCCTGTTATGATTCTAAGACAAGGAAACTAAAGTCTTGAAGGAGGACCCAGGACCTGACTTGGGTCAGTGGGAGGCTAGAGGCTACACATCTACACTACCCTGCACTGTCTCTGCTAACCCCAGCACCAGAGGCCAGCAACATGGTGGCCTAGAACTGTAGCCATACTCACCCCTGCACCCTGGTCCTCGTAGTACATGACAAAGCTGCCCACCTGGTCCTGCTCTTGCCTGTGTTACCATAAGTCCCAACTAGGGGCAGTCTGGAGTAGTCAGGCTTTTGGTAGGAAGTGATCTGGGCAGCTAAGGTATAGACATTCTAACAAGGTAGCATTAAAGCCACAGGGCTGTGAGTCTGAATCACTAGTCCGAGAGGGGAGAGGAAGCCGAGGGCCTGCATTATTGATAGGCCCAAAAGGAAAGGATCCAGGAGAAACGGCGCATCAATTTTACATTGAGGGAGAACCAAACCCTATAAAATGCAGATCTTAAGTTTGTTTCTTCCCTCCCTCCCTTCTTTCTTTCCTTTTATTTCTCACCTAGCTTCAAAAACAAACAACAAATGGGATGGGCCTTACAAAAACACACAGAGTATACCAGATGTTTTAAGCAAGGAAATTTGGTTGTAATAAAAGAAGAGTGACCAACAAATGAAGACAGTTGTGATTGTTGGAATATAAAGCGCATGCCCTTTGGTCCCAAGCGTCTGGCTGTGGCTTCTGACCAGTCATCACAGAAGTAAATACAATCTACCCAATACCACGTGACTCTGATAGGAAAATCAATTCAGGGGTCTCTCCTTCCCTGCCACAGGTATGTTTGCGACACAAGCTGGCAAAACAGAAGATTGTTTTCTCACAAACACAGTGGTTCTTTCTGCAATGCTCAGTCATGGTCACCCCCTGTCCACCTGCCTCTCTCTGCTGTCTCACCAAATCTGGTGAGACTCAAAGTGTGTAGGTATGAAGATAGGATGGGGTTGTGATACTGCTCGAGTTCCTGGATCAAACCATGCCTGAAACCCCACCTATAAATCCCTAGATACTTCAATCTTTCTTGCTTTAGTTTGAGTTTGGGTCCTGTCATTTCAAAATGAACAGAAGAGACGTGACTAGTATATACCATTAACTGTGAAGGAAACAAAAAAAAAAGCAAAAATAAATACAAATCACAGTCGTTTAGGAATTCTCTTAAGGAGATTTTTCTATTATGTAAAAATCGGTCTACTAATTTTCTACAGGTCACGATGGTTCAAATCAGGCATTCATGTTAAAAGAAATAATCTACTTAGCATGGCATTAGAATGCTATGATCTAGGTTCTGCTGAGTTCTCTCTTTGACCCTTTCTCTAGCCTCTTGGCTTCAGGTCCAGGTTCTTCCTTGCCAGCCCAACAAAAAGAAGAAAAAAGTCACATACTGCTCCCAAGCACGGACAAGCACCTGCCGGCTCCTTTTGTATGTTCTATTCCCCAGCATGGAGGGTCTTTCCTTTCCTTTGTCTGCATGCTGAATCTGTAACTAACCCACGAACTTTAACTCAGTAATTACCCTCTTCCCTGGCAGCTTAAACAAGATACCATTTAAAAAATATATTATGATTCCATGTACATGAAACACCCAGAATAGGCAAATATATAGAGATGGAAAGTAGACTGGTGGTTACCTAGGGCTGGGGACTTCAGGAACCAAATTGGGAGAGATAGCAAAGGGAGTGTTTGTAAAATTGACTGTGTTGATGGTTATACAACTCTGAATCTACTGAAAGCCATTCAATTGTATTCTTTAGATGGGTGAATTGTATGGTATGTGAATTATATCTTAATAAAGCTGTTAAAAATATAAATGAAAAATGAGAGAATACTATTAACGAATAATAAGAACCACTACCAAGATATACACAGAGCTCCCTAAGTGGGCATAGCTCCCCTATGCCCCCCCATTCTGCAGACGCCCACGTAAGCAACCAAGTGAGGCCAGACCCTGCCTATGAGCAGAAGTCTTCATCAAGGCGCCATTACCCTGTTTTGACCCCCTTCCTTGCCACAACCAGTGGGAACTGTAGCAGGTGACAGGAACTCACCGTGGGCAGCTGGCCCGACAGCAGGTGACTGTCCTGTGCCAGCATGTTGGACACCATGATGGCAGGAAGGTCCATGGCCTGGTAGGAGTAGGCAGGGAGCAGACCGTTGGGGGTGAGGCCGTGGCACAGCGAGTGGTAGCTGGCTTCGTGGTCCCCCAGGTGCAGGAGGGACGGCTCAGGAAGGTTAGGAGGTGTTATTGGGGGAATCTCATAGTCTTCGTTGTTCTCGCTCTGGCCGTTGTAGGTCTAAAACATCAAAGGGGATGTTGTTGGGGTCAGTGTTTCACAACTGCAGAACACGCTCACCGGCACCAATCACAGCAATAACAATGACCATAACCACCCTTAGAGGAGGAGAGAAGGGATGACCCCTCTGCAAGGCAGAAGGTCAAGACTCCTGCCCTGTCCCCAAATGGATGTTCCCTCCCACTAGAAGCTCTTACACAGCACCTGCCTTCCTGGAGAGCAGGGGACAGCCCCTATCCACCTGCCTCTCTCTGCTGTCTCACCAGATCTGGCCGCCATAGCCCACCCTGAATCCACCCATTTTACAGATGGCAACTCAGGTTAAAGGAGGAATGTGGCCCATCCAAGGTCAGTAGAAGAGTTGGGAACGGAGCTGAATCATCCTGATTCCCTGCCTGGTGGTCCTTCCACGGCAGCCGAATCTCTTATTCCAACACTCAGCCCCGCCAGGCCTTCTCTTAGTTTTTCTCATCTTGGTAAACGATCCAAACATTCCTGCAGGAGCACACGCTGGAATCTAGGCGTCATCCTGGACACCTTCCTTTCCAATCCTTACTTATTTATTTTTTCCCTCCTCACTGAACTGTTCGGGAAGCTCCAGGACAATGTTGAATAGAAACCATGTGAGCAGATACCCTTTTTCTTTTCCTTATCTTAAGATCTAATATTTTATTGTAATGTGCAATATTTGCCAGTTTCTTTCACTTATTCTTTAGGAGGTTGAAGGAATTCCTCGTTTGTCGAGGTGGGTATTTTTTATTTGTGCATGGATTTTTAATCTTTTCAAATTATTTTCCCTCGTATCTACTGAAAGGCTCAAATGTCTTTTCTCCTTTAGTTCAGTTAATACAGTAAGTAACTCACATGGTTTTTTAATGTTAGAATAAATGCATTCCTGGAATAACCCTACTTGACTGTGATGGCCACGATATATTTATTCTTTTCATGGATTGCGGGGCTTTGCTTCTGATCCTTTGTTTAGGAGTTTTGCATCAGGTTCACAAATGGGATTGGTCTATGATTTTCCTGTGTCACACTGCCCTTGTTGGGTTTTAGTATCAATGCTACATTAACCTGGGGAGTCGTTCTTCCTTTTGTGTGTTCCGGAGATTAGACTCAGCTGGAGAGAGATGTGTGAACTGAAGGATGGATCTAAAGAAAATATCCAGAATTCAGCAAACACGGTTAAAGAGGAAATATGAAAGAGAGGTTAGGAGCACAGAGTAAGAATCTCTCACAGGCACCTAATCAATCAGCATTCTGGAGGGAAAAGGGCGAGAGAATGGGTCAGAGGAATGATAGAAGAGATAGCGGTCGAGAACATTCAAGAACCAATGAAGGATCTTGAAGGAATTGATGACTATAGAGGTAAATTTTTAATTAGTCAAAATATTTGTGTAGAAAGGGAGAGAAAAAAAAACCTACCCACAATAGCATATAAAAAATAATGTCTTCTAACATCTTTGTATTGGTTGGCAAGTCAAGTGTGCAGGCCGAAACAGATAGGGGCATTGAGCCCGGCACTGTCCCTGGTTCTTGGTGGTCCAGTGTGTGGACAGTGGACACTGGGCAGTGCGTGTGCATGGTGGTGTGGGTGCCTAGAGCTAGGTGACAGCAGAGAACACAGGGTACCTACATGCCTGCCCAGTGTCAAGGCCTTTCTCTTTGGGCACCGTGTGTGAGCCTTACCGCAATTCCAGGAGGAAGAGCCTTAAACTTACTGCCTCTTAGAGCCAAGAAACAGACTCTGAGAGGATGAGCTGCTCCCACCTGACCTCACCCCCAGGGCCTGGGTGCCACTCGCTCACTAGCTCCCTCTGCAGAGCTTTGAGGGATCATCTCACAGATGAGCAAACATTCCAGAGGGGGGAGGTGACAACCATGCCCTCCTTGCTTCACCTTCTCTCTCCGTTCTCATGTAGGAGTTCCTCAGCCTTAGTCCTAAAATCCCTTCACTTCCAGCCCTATGCTCTCTCCCCACATGGACCTCGCCGGTTTCAGGCTCAATTCCCACCTTGGTGCCACACTCTCACCTCCAGCCTTGGTCTTCCCTCTGAGCTCCATAGCTGAGTATCTCAACACCCAATCAGAATCCCCACTGCAGAGTCACCATGTGACTTCCACTATCATGTCCCTGTGTCCTCCCCGTCTTAGTAAATGACACTCTCTTCCATCCAGTGAATAAAACCACAAACCTGGGACTCATCCTCTGTCACCTCTCAAATCCAATGAAACTCCTCCAAAAGATTTTATTTTTAAAAGCTGCCCATTTCTCTCCATGTCCACTGCCACTTTCCCAGTCCAGGCCACCACCCTCTCTCACCTGAACAAGGGCACAGCCTTTTACTGGCCTCCCCCAGCCTTCTCTTGAATGCTCTATCCCCTTCCTAGAGTCTTTGTAAAGATGGTCATCACACCATGTCACCCCCGTAAAATGATAAGCCCCCCTCTGCACTTAGGAAAAAGCCTGCAGTCCCAGAGCTGTCCCTGGAAGTCCTCTCATGGCCTGGTCCCCCTCACCTCTCTAGTGACCTCTGCTGCCTCTGGGCCCTCCTTACTCTAAGTCAGACCCCATTCCATATACCATGATTGCCTAGCGTTGCTCCTGGGAGGTGCTCATGGAGCTTGTATTAGCTGACGTCCCATGTGATCCTTTGTTTAAGGGTTAATGTGAGTTTTTCTCATTGTTCCCCCCAATGCTTAGATCAGAACTGGTGCAGAGTCGGGTGCGATGTAAGAACTAAAAACTGCAGGTCAATGGCTACTGTAAATGCACATCTAGCTCAACTCCCGTGACTGCCCCAGAGGTGGAAAGGATTGTCCCTGTTGGCCAGGAGAAAGTGCGGTGCAGCAGGTAACAGCCGGATGGCTGGGGTTCAAATCCTGGCGTTGCCACTTCCTGCCTGTGTGCTACTCGGGCACATGACTCACCTGTTTGTGCCTCAGTTTCCTCATCTGTGAGAAAGAGGGCGATGACAGTATGCATCAACAGGGCTGTTGTAAAGAGGAAATGAGTCAGCCCGTGTAGCTGCTCAGGACAATGCCAGGCACATCGTCAGCACTCTCGGTGTTACTTGCAATTGCTATTCTGGTCCTTGCCTGGAGTGTCAGAGACATTCAGGGACTTCCCCCAAGGACACTGAGAGCATAAACAGCAGCACTAGCTCAGCACCCTCGCTCAAGAACGTTCTAACTCACACGTCAAGGTCTGTGCACCTGGGGTGGTGTCTGATTTCAGCCTGGCACTGAGATGGGCTGGGGGCCGATAGCGTTCAGGTGGGAATCAGCTGCAAACGTACCTCCCTGGGAAGTAGCAACCCGCTGCCAGCTATCCTGTTTGGAGTCCCCTCCTCCAGGAAGCCTGCCCAACTTCTCTGCCCATTCTAGGGCCAGACTCTGCCCCATGACACCCCTTCCCAGCCCCATGTGTGTGTGTCCCCATAGTGTTCGTTACCACCTAAAATTATTTTTGACTCTTACCTTTTCCTCATGTCCCCCTCTACCCAGAGCCGAGGCTCCATGAGGGAAGGGGTTCACCAGTCCCTAGCACAGTGCCTGGCTCTCTGTAATTACTCAGTTACTTACACTGCAACGAATGAGATGGGGGATGCCCCTGGCTCTACGTGCAGACCTCACCGAGGCAGTTCCACACCTGTTCTTCCCGACATACTGTACATCTCTCATGTCTGTTCACTGCCACCTTCTTCCCTGTCCCCCAGCACCCAGAACAGGTGCGGGCACCTAGTAGGTACCAAGCGAATGCTAAATGATTGCACGAGGCAATTCCTTTCAGTCAAAACCCCAAACCTCAATCCCTTGGAACCAGCCCAATCGACCAGAAGCCTTTTTGAAAAAAATAAGCATATGTTGTATCAAAATATTGGGATAACACAATCATGACAATGAAGAGGCAATTAGCACACTTAAAAATAACTCTGCGGGCAAACATATACAGGCCTCTTTCGAATGCAATCAAATCCTAAACGCATGACACCCGACCACCAGCCAGCCCTCCCTGGGTACCTACAGTGTGACAACCCCTGGACCTGGCATTTTCTGCACACACATTCTTCATTTCCTTCCTACACATTCTGCAAAGAACTCATTTTGCAGAAGAGGAGGACAGAGTTCCGAGAGGGGAAGTGGCACACAGCTAGTAGGTCTTGGTTGAGATTCAGAGCCAGGTCTTGTGACTCTGAACCCAGCCTTTCCCCACAGTAGGTCACATTCATAAGGCAGACGTCCCCTAATTAAGAGATTGGCTGCTCAATGGTGCCCAATTTGCCCTCTATCACTGGTATCCTCGTGAAAATGTAGAAAGAGACGCCAAGTTGTAAAAGATCTGGAAGTTAAAAATATGAGGAAAATCTCATAGGAAATCTGCAGAATGTTTCCTCTGCCTTTCCACTTATCTCTCTCAGATCCGTGCCAATTGCACTTCCATCCCACCTGCCACCTGAACTCTTTGAGAAGGTCACCTCCATGTTCCTAAATCCAGTGGTCAGTTCTCGGTCCTCCTCTGGGCATCTAACTTGCCTCTGTCAATGGAATTTGACGTAATTGGTATGTCCCCCTCCCTGGGAGCAAATTCCTCCCCTTGGCTTCTGGGACACCAGAGATGTTGGTCCTCTGACACCACAGGCCATTTCTTCTCCGTGTCCTTTGTTGGTTCCCATCCTTCTCCTAACCTTGAATGGTGGCATGTCCCAAAGCTCACACCTTAGAGCTCCTCTCTAAACACATTCCCTCCCTGGTTCTCCTGTCCCGACTTGTGGCTTTAAACACCAACTCGCTGCTCATTCCATGGTTCTTCTAGGCTGGGCCTTCCCCTGAACTGCAGGCTCACAAACAGGTGCCACTGTTATCTGGCACCTCCACTTGGATTGTGGTCATTACCTAGAGAACCGGTCCCTGGCACCGTCTTCCCCACCTGTGCTAGCAGCAGCTCCCTCCTTCTCATCACTCAAACCAAAACATTATCTTTGAGTCCTCTCTTTCTC